AGAAAGAAAAAGAAAGAAAGAAAGAAAGAAAAGAAAGAAACTCTGAAAGAACAAATGAAAGAAAACCGATGCTGGCAAAATGTCTGCCATAAGCTGCTCACCCAGAAATATCTAGGATTTAAATTATTCTGGCCTCTTCTACATTAGTAATATATCCAGAATTTGACAATGTTACCAACCAAAGCATAAGTGACCTAGAATTATCACAATTTATGCATGATCAATCAGGCTGCCATGTCAGTGAAGGGAGACAACACTAGATCAGACGAGGGCAGGTTAATCATGAAAAGGACTCAGTGAGACTAAACCTTGGCCTTATGCTAAGTCGTCAAACCCTTAGGTAAAGCTTAAAAGTAGTTTAGGTACTAAATAACAGTGTTTAGAGTTTGGTTCTTCCCTATCTCAAACCAGTTATGCAACACTCAGAAGAGTGGGGAGGCGGTGAAAAGGCGCTGAAGCCAGAGGAAAACTGGTTCACCGAGATAGCTAAATTAGTTAACGGGTGGCTTAAACATTTTCAAGAAAACAAAAATACCATAAAAATAAAATGCAAGATTCCTAATTTTTAAGACAAAATAAGAAACTCCAAATAAACGGCGGGCCATACGCTAGGAATTCAATCTCGTCCACCGTTAGGTTATTTTTTCCCCGAAGGAAGTTTGGGAAATCCTGTCCCAATTTCAGCCAAATGAAGCTCGACTTCCTACAGCTTCAGCCTTGAACTAAAAAAGGAGGTACTGCTGCGAAGGAAGAACTCTCGGGGAGTTCCAAGCTGGCGTTGGCGGTTATCAAAGGACAAAGACGAGAAAAACAGGAGAAAAGTACACGGGACTGAAAACCCACACCGAAGAGCGGACGCCAGCCAGGCGGAACCAGAGGTCCCGGCTGTTTCCCAAGGAGCCAATTGGCGCGCGGCCCGGAGGCTGGCTGCCGAGCGCCCCCAGCGGCCGGGAGGAGGGAGAACCTCCAGAAAAAGGAGGAGGTGGAACTCCCAGCATGCAGTTCCCGAGAGACACACCCTAGCGTTGCCCCAGGAGACGTTTGGTCTATTTTTATAGTTTCTCTCTGCAATCCCTGCCACCTGTGGGTGGGATTTCCACTTTTAGAGTTCTGTAAAAAACAGATTGGCTATGCTGCCTGCCTCAGGCTAGCTCGCTGTAAAGCAGTGGGTCGATGGCGTTTCCCTTTTAATTGCGGTCGGTGGAGCCAGAGTGGCATTGCCCTTTTAAGGCCGGTGGCATCATGCTTCCGGGGGCGTGGTCCGTCCTTAGGAATACCCGGCCCTGCGCTGGGCTGATTCATTCGGGGGCTGGAGCTGCAAGCGCCGACGTCGGCCTCTGCGCCGGGAGCAGCCTCGCTCGTCATTGGCTGGTTCTCGGGGACCGCCCCCCCTTGCCACCCCTGGGTTCCCTCTCGGGTCCGCAGTAGAAACACTGCCCTCACGGTTCTTGACCCCTGGGCCTTTCTCCCTTCCCTCCCTCCCTCACTCCCTCCCGCCGCCGCCGCCGTCGCTTCAGACGCCCCTGCTCCCGAAGGAGCTCCTGGTTCGGTGATGGGGTCTCGGGCTTCCACGTTACTGCGGGACGAAGAGCTCGAGGAGATCAAGAAGGAGACTGGCTGTGAGTTCTGGTAGGGGGTGGGAAAGCGGCCGGGCCCCTGTGAGTGGCCTCAGAACCGACGGCTGCTTGTCGTTGAGGTCCGTTGTTGGGGTGCTCGGAGGTTGCCCGGTACTGAGCAGCCTCCAGCGCTGGAGCTTCGTGGCGGAGGGCTGGAGAACCTGTTCGTAGATGCTGGGCTCTGGCCCCTGTGGGGCTGTCCTTCCCCTCAAAGGCAGGAGTCGTGATCACCCTTAGAGCACAGGCATCGCTCTTTTTTCTTACCCTGCTTATGAAAGTCCCCGAACTCCTTTCTTTTATCTTTTCTCTCGCCAACCTCGAATTCAGGAGCTCTGGATGGATCCTGTAGAAAACACAATCCGTTCCTATGACGTTTCCGGGCAAGCACTTAAAGTCACTGTCAACTGTGGGAAATCACAAATAAATTCTTTCCGCAACTGGAAAGATGAATCCAGAAAGCAAGATCCTATAGTAAGGCTTTGGAAGACGTGACCTGGTGACAGCAGACCTTTAAACAATGAGGGGTCTGAGAGTATGAGATTTCATTCTGAACCTGTGGAGAAAAAAGCACGGATACTGTGACCACCAGTTTTTTACTTAGACTGAGGATGCTTACTGTCCTAATTTCAGATATATTGATTTCTACTATGCTGGTGTACTTTATGCAGTCGCTATGGAAATTGGATGTGCTCCAAAATCTCAGTGCGAGTTTGTACTAGGCACTGATGTTTTTTATAGTCCAGTCTCTTCCTCATTAAACCGAACATAGGGGAAACAGGGCTTGGGGAATTCAGAAGCTCTGTGTAACATAATCACACAATTTTGTACAGCCCTTGATAATGCATACACTATTTTTTCAGCAATCCATTATGACTCTTGTATTTTACGTAAGTTATGTAACTGTCTGAGCTCTGTCTCTTCATGATAACCTGTCTTTAATGATGAGGTGACCAGTAATTCAGTGGTCCATATGCAGGTAATATTGAAGGGTGCTGAGGGAACTACATAATTTCACAGACAGTGGTGGCCTGAGAGAAACGGAATGCTGTCCTGTGCTTTCAACAGATTTAGCTTTTAAAATCTTCAGTGTGGAAGGGATGTTATCTAGCCCCCACCCTTGGCAGATTGGTTTACTGCTTTTAGCATTCCCTAACAGATGGCCCATAGCCTCTCCATAAATACTTTTAGGGGTGATAAGCACACCACCTACTGATTTTGGATGAAAGACAAAGTAGTTAGCTGGTTATAATGTATAGTACTTGTTTGGCTACTTGACCTTATGGTCATTTGATGACTCATTTTGACTCTTTAAGAGTAGAAATAAAGGCAGTTGGGAGTCAGCAATCATTTTATTAAATGTTGTGGTCATGACTTCTGACCACACTTGTAAATATAAGAACTGCTTTAGGTCTAAGGTGACACCAGAGTTAAAGCATTCATACTTAAAATAGAAAGTCAAATCATGAAGTGCAAGCCACAGTGAGGATGAGAAAAAGGTATTTTTGCCTCAAGATGAGGGAGTACTAATCCCATTTGGGCATATTTACATTTGACAAAATGGAAAGACCCTGGACTCTATAGGACTGGAGTTATTTTACTGCGTGGCTTGTGGAGGAACAGAAGTACATACTCCTGGAAGAGCTGTTTCCCTAGTTGCCAAAAAGTGAATCAAACCTTGAAGGAGATTCTCAACCACAACCAATGCAAACGGATGTTAAGCCAGAAAGCCTAATGAATAAGTAGTTACGGAATTTTTGCATTATCTGTATGCTAGGCACTCAAAGCAGATGGTGACAAAAGATGCCCATAGGAGTTAGGATTAGCATTACGACATAAGGTAGCTGAAATTGTGTGCCATGCTCCTTCAGACTCAGGGAAGACTGAGTCTGTGGGCTGGTCTTGGAGAGAGCCGGAGTTGGGCCCTGATCCAGGAATGAATGAATTAGATTTAGATAAATTAATTTAGGACATTTTGGGTGGCTTCCACGAGCATTCTACTCCAGTCAGCTACATAGCCATCCCTTTATCCTGTTAGTGTCCATCACCAGAGTTGATTTTTAAAGTAGTAATTTTAACATGATATAAAAGGTTTAGAAGACTAAAAACAGATACCCGAGGGGGAGGTGGAGAAGTGGGATTTGTCCAGTTTTCATCTGCTTCTTGTTTCATTAAGAGTTTAGGGAACTATCAGGGGTGCCTGGGTGGCTCACATGGTTGGCCATCTGCCTTAGGCTTGGGTCATGATCTCCAGATCCTGGGATGGAGCCCCATGTCGGGCTCCTGGCTCAGTGGGGAGTCTGCTTCTCCCTCTCCCTCTGCCTCTTCTCCAGCTCATGCTTTCCCTGTATCTCTCTGTATCAAATGAATAAATAAAATCTTAAAAAAAAAAGTTTAGGGAACTATCAATCAGAAACACTTCAAGTTAAGAACAAGTAATACGTCTTACTACTCCCTTTGGCTGTGAGAAAATGTAGCATAATTGAGGAAAACTGACTTTATATTCACTATGAAAGCTTTGCATTGGAATTGATTATGTTTAAACATATTTTCTGTAAGTCTAAATTGAGTAGAATTCCTGCATGACTGGCTTAGCCAGTATTTGAAATGTGATCTCTCAAGTGTTTGGCAAACGAATTCTAGGTAAGAATTACCTGTAAGCCTCAGTTTTGTCATCTGTAAATGGGAATAATAATATCACCTACTTCATAGGATTCTTAAGAGGATTAAATGAGATAAATTATATAATCTACTTAGAATAGTGCCTGATATATAAGTATCAGTTAAGTATCAGCTATTATTTTGAACCATAGATAAGAGTCATCTAATTGGGAAAATAGTTGTATGAACTAGTTATAAAACTATGTCTAGGGCTATATAAATGGAGAAGTGACAGTATTTTATGCTTTTCATATTTTCAGGGAGCATTGGACTAGAAATCAAGTTGTTTCCCCAATTGTACAGAAATAAAACTTTTAAAGAAATCAACATCTTAATGTTTATAACAGTTTAAAAAAATTGTCTAAAGAAAATTAATACATTTTTCATTGAAAAAAAATTTTTTTGAGAGAGAGATTGGCAGTGTGGGCCAGGGAGGGGCAGATGGAGAGAGAGAGAGAATCTTGAGCCAGCTCCATGCGCAGCTCAGAGCCCAATGCAGGGCTCGATCTCACAACCCTGGGATCATGACCTGAGTTGAGGATCAAGAGTCCAATGCTTTACCACCTGAGGCACCCAGGCATCCCTTAAAACATTTTGTGTTCGCAAAAAACATTTGCTATATTGTCTTTGTCCCATTACCTTCTTTCACACATCAGCATTTTCATATATTAAATCCCAGCTGAATAAAAGTTACCATTGGGGGAAATCACAACGGTCTTGGGAGTTTCTGTAATCTCCACTCTTAGTTCACTTAACTGTAGCAGTAAACTGGCTGTGAATTACTTAAAACCATTTTTTTAAAAATAGTCATTTAATCTGTGAGAAACAATTCAAACCAGTGGAGTAATAATAAATGCCCATTAATTTAATTTAATTATTATTTTTTACATTCATTTACTTTTAGTCTCTAGTTCTGGTATGTGTCATGTGGTATGGGGCTGGTATTAAACAGGTTTAGGAAGTAAGTTTTACAGGCTGGTGAGGTTTTGTTTGAGAAGGTATAGTGATGATAGAATAGTGGGGTTTTTTTCTGTGGTTTCAACAAAGAACACAAGCCTGGCAAAGGCAATTGCTTGAGAATAAAATATCTCAAAATGCAAGAACCCTAAATAAATAAAATCTTTAAAAAAAAAATGCAAGAACCCCTTCACCTGCCAAGCCATGTTGCCATGTTGCTATCTTCTGGCATAGGAAATCACATATAACTAACACCTTTAGTTGGTTTGGGGTTAAGGGATTTTGTAAAGCTATGTACTTTTCCTCCCAACTTACTATGAAAGATTTAAAATGCACAAAAAAGTTAAAGTAGTGTAATATCCATATACTTTTCACCTCAATTCAGCAGTTAACATCTTGCTTTATCTACATATAGATAAATATATATAGCTTTAGCTGTGTATTTGCCTTATCTATTTATATGTATAAATCTATTTATCTTTTGGTGAACCATTTAAAAGGCAGGTGACAGAACACTTCGCCTCTAAGTATTTCTGCATGTATCTCCTGAGAATAGGGGTTTTGATTTCCCTACTTAACCTCAGTACTATATTACACCTAAGAAAATTGACAGTAATTTAAAAATATTATCTACCATTTAGTCCATATTCAAATCTCCCCAATTAGAACAAGGTGGTTTGTTGTTGTTACTTTTATATCTTTTAAGTCTCTTTTAATCTATAGGTTCCCTTAGAGAGTAGGCCAGCTCTTGAAGCCCTCTGTCAGGGGAAACAGAAAGTGTTGAAGTATGGAATGGTTGGGATTCAGGCTTCAACTTCTCAATCTTTTATCTGGAGTTACCTTTGGTTGTACTAGTATGCTTTACCTAGGTTATCAGTCTGTTCTGTATTAAGATTTAAGATAACGGTAAGGGAAAAATAACTTTTCTCTTACTCCCTTTTCATTTTATTCTTCCCTTTGTCATTCCTACCTAGTCATTGGTACTTCTCTGAAATGCCTTTGTCCTCTGAGCATGAGGCCTCATGATAGAAAGTTCTGTAGTCAGATTGGCAGAGTCTTTCAAGTAATCTTCCAACAGTATAAAATAATTATTTGCCCATTAGTGGAGAAAAATATAGCTTCATTCAACACTTGACCATGTCCACACCCTTTTCGGAGAGGTCAACTCCAGAGACTTCCTTTCGGTTACCAAGAATTGGTGCAGGTTTGGGGCACCAGTCCTGTTAGCCTAGTGCCTTCTGGTGAGACTAGTTTACTGGAAACCTTCCAGCCTTCTCTTGTGGCAGTTCCAATATCTTTCTGCACCTTGAAGTTGCTGTGAGCTCTGCACCTTGGAGATTGCTTTATATTCTCTGTCATGGTGGATTTGGCACCTAAATTGAAGCTTGCTTTCCTCCTCCTCCTCCTCTTTCTCCTCTTTCTTCTTAATAAACATTAGTTCTGGGGATGCCTGGGTGGCTTAGTTGATTAAGTGGCTGCCCTCAGCTCAGGTCATTATCCCAGGGTCTTGGGATTGAGTTCCACCTTGGGCTCAGCAGGGAAGTCTGCGTCTCCCTCTCCATCTGCCTCTACTCATCTTTTCTCTCATTCTCCCTCTCTCTCTCTCTCAAAATAAATAAATAAATAAAATCTAAAAAAAAAAAGAATAAATTCTGAAGTTTAGGACATAGATTGAGATTTAACCATATCGAGTTATATTAAAAGTTGACATTTGGTTGTACATTTCTCTACTGATTTCCATATAACCCCCTTCTGCCTGGAAGATAGCAGGTTTATGGTTCATGAAAATTTGTGAAGCATTCCATGTGTTTTTTTAAAAGATTTATTTATTTATTTATTTATTTATTTGAGAGACAGAGAGGAAGTGTGCATGAGCATCGGGGCCGGGTGTGCAGAGCGAGAGAATCTTTAAGCAGATGCCCCGCCCCCCAGTTTAGAGTCTGATGCTGGGCTCTGTCCCATAACCCATGAGTTGATGACCTGAGCTGAAACCAGGAGACTCTTAATGGAGGAGCCACCCAAGTGCCCCAAGCATTCCATATTTTTAAGGATATCAGGCATAAGCTGATCTTTTTTCTGAAATATGGGATGTAATACCATACCAGTACTTGGTAAGGGACTTTTTAGAATCATACTTTAAGATGTTCTTTGAGATAATCTAGATTAGAAAGATGTCTGATGGCTCATTTGTTAGTTGAAGGGGGTTGGACTAGACGACAACATTCCTCCCAGTTTCAAAATTGTATCAGTAGCTGTACATACATACACATATATAGAATTTCTAGAAGGATTCACAAAAAAACTGGTAATAGTGTTTGCTTCTGGCAAGGGAAACTGGGGAACTTGGTTGTTAGGGAGACTTTTCATTGTGTACGCTTTTGTACTATCTGTGTTTTTACAATGTGTGTGGATTCTTTTCTCAAATTGCAAAAAGGGGGCGCCTGGCTGTCTTAGTCCAGAGAGCATGCAACTCTTGCAGGGTTGTGAATTTGAGTCCCATGTTGGGTGTAGAGATTAGTTAAAAATAAAATATTTTTAAAAAACAAACTAGTATAAAAAGAAATATAATTTAATGTTTTCCTGTTAAAAGGAAAGTAATCTGAAGTATGTAATAGTCTAGGTACTAAAAACTGACCCAGTGGACTAAATATTCTGCAGTTATTAAGAAGGACTCCAAAGCAACACAGAAAAATTATGAGTGAATGAATGAGAAGGTATTCCAACTATGGAAAGTATCCAAGTGGGTCGTATTGAATGGTTATATACATTTCTTTGTATAAGAAATGAAAAACAGTAGTGTTGAGATTGTGAACAAGATTTGTTCTTTCAGAAAATCTTTTGGAAAAGTTAGTCATTCTTTAACTGACTTATTTTTGTTAAACTAAAGGGACCTTCAGTTCTAGAGCATCCTTTGAGGCCAGAGGCCAGAGCCAGGGTAAACAGGTCAGGTTCCTGAAGAAAATGGCTGTAGCTACCAGAGAGGAGAAAGGTGAAGATTAATTAGTGCAACGGTGAAACTGTACCCAGGCTCACAATGTGAGGATGGTGATGCGAATGGTTAACCTGGAGTGTTTACCCTGTACCAGACACTCTGCCAAGTGCTTTCCTCTCCTGGCCTCACAGAGTTCACTCCGCAGCCCTTTTCGTTCACCCCTCACTGAGTAGGCAGGCAGTGGTGCCATGAATGGGATCGGTCTGTTACCTGACCCCCACCAGAGAGCACGGGTTGGCAGTGGGTCCCCAGCTACCTCCTCCATGCCTGGCACCTGCGGGCTCTGGGCTGGCTCTGTGCTGGCTGGGACTGATTCTTCTCTGCGTTCTTTGGAAAGGTAGTACCCACAGCCCAGCTTGGGGTGAAATCTGATGCTCAAGAATTCACTGCTGCCTCTAGCGTGCCTTCTCATCCTAGCTCCAGGCCATTCACTTCCTGCTTCTCCCGCTGTGCCCCGGTTTACTTTGTCCCATTGTTCCTAAAAGTCCAAGTAGATTTTGTTGAGCTGAGGGAGGAGGGCTACTGTCAGCATGCCTTCAGCCATCCCTTTTAAACCCCTGAAGGTACAGCCTAGGACAGAGTCACACTTACCACACCCTTTTTGGCTCCTGTCTTTTCCCCTTTGATAACTGTCCTTTTTCTCCCCTCCTACTTCCCATCAGCCAGGAAACTAAACTACTGCCCAGAAATTTCTTTATGCATTTTCAAATTCTTACTGTGTATCTGCCGTTATTACTTCATTTTAATTGCCAGCTTATGCTTGAGTTAAAAAAAATTAGGAGGAGGGGCGCCTGGGTTGCTCAGTTGTTAAATGTCTACCTTCGGCCCAGGTCATGATTACAGGGTTCTGGGATCAGAGCCCTGCATCAGGCTCCCTGCTCAGCGGGGAGCCTGCTTCTCCCTCTCCCACTCTGCTTGTGTTCCCTCTCTCACTCTCTCTGTCAAATAAATAAATAAATAATCTTTAAAATTAAAAAAAAAAAATTAGGAGGAAAATAGCTTCCTTGTAGATACCATCTCTTGATAACCTGATCTTTTTACAGATTGCCTAATTTGCTTTCTGGGTTAGGGAACTCAGTGGAGCTCATGCAGTCACAGAAAAGAAGCTGACCTGACCCTGTGATCTTTTACCTAAATGTCAGTTCTGAGGGGAGGGAAAAGCCACTAAAGCTTGGTGCCGGAGCAAACCAGATTTCCACTGAATCACCTAGGTGCCCACAAACCAGATTTTATAAAAATAGAATCTGTCCCAGGGCACCTGGCTGGCTCAGTTGATGGAGCTTGGGACTCTCTAAGTTCAAACCCCACGATGGGTATAGAGATTACTTAAAAATAAAATCTTTAAAAAATAAAAATTGAATCTGCCCCAGTCTTTAAGTACAAGTTAACCAACCTGGCATTGCCAGCCTGAAACCTCAAACTGATTAATAGGTATGTGTTTTTAATCAGAGCATACAGTTAATAGCCTCTAAGTCATGTGAAAAGGTATAAAGAGTAAAAAGGTTAAAGTTTCACAATTTCCTTTTATACTAAATTTGGCTTTGTTTTGCTAAATCTTTTTTTTTTTTTTTTAAAGATTTTATTTATTTATTTGACAGAGAGAGAGAGATCACAAGTAGACGGAGAGGCAGGCAGAGAGAGAGAGAGAGAGGGAAGCAGGCTCCCTGCTGAGCAGAGAGCCCGATGCGGGACTCGATCCCAGGACCCTGAGATCGTGACCCGAGCCGAAGGCAGCGGCTTAACCCACTGAGCCACCCAGGCGCCCTGTTTTGCTAAATCTTAACCACTTGACATTTAGTGTATAGTCCTGATGAAGTCCAGACTTCATTCCTAAGAGTCCATTTTGATTGCTCTTAATTTACTTATTTTCTAACTCCTTCCGTTAGCTTTTAAAATTTATGTTTTGACACTCTAGAAATGAGTGAGAGTTGAGACAACTCCCTGTTTTACTCTCTTTGAAGTGTATGGTGGGCTGGGACCAGAAAGACAGTTGACTTCTGAAGGGCCAGACTCAAGTTCATTTCAAGTAGAGGATGACTTCGCCAACTGGGACTAATTTTGTGTTCTTCAGTTTCCCACAGTCAGATCACCCGCCTCTACAGCCGATTCACCAGCCTGGACAAAGGAGAAAACGGGACTCTCAGGTAGGCAGTTGCCGTCTTTATTTTTGGGCAGTATCTGAATAGGCGCCTTTATCCCCAGGGCACAGGTGATAGGCATCTAGAGTGCAAAGGGCAGGGACCAGTTCTTCACTGTCTTTGAGCATCATGCATTCACCAGGGAGTTAAATAAGCAGAAGAATGGCATTACATTCATCACCAGGTGCTTTGTGCCTTACTCTTAACTCCTCTTAGTTTGGGTGGCCATTGTTCTGGTCCTAGGAACGTCCTTTTAAGATTTTTCAGCTTTCTCTGCTTGAGTTTTCCCGTGGCCCTTTCCCAGACATGTTAGCCTTCAAGAAGTCAATCCAGGGCAGTCCAAGGTGGTCTAGATTGTTTTGCCCTCTCCTCTCATTTCCCAACCAGCCCCATAACCCTAAGGTACACCACTTTGTATATGTTAATATTAGATAAGATGTTCGGTGTTTTAGTCTAGAGCAGTGGTTCTCAATTGAGGCCTCTTTTGCTCCTAGGCAACAAAATATCTGGAGATGTTTTCAATTCTCAGGATTGGGGCGTAACGTTGATGTCTGGTGTGTGGTGGCCAGGAATGTGGCTAAATGTGCTATAATAGACAGGATAGGCACCCCCACAACAAAGAGTTATTCTTCCCTAAATATCCAACATGCCAACGTTGAGAAACTCTGCTCTAGAGTTAATTATATGATTTCAGAATAATGGGATTTTGTACCACTTCGAATTTGTAATTGTCTTATCATTGTCCAATGAAATATCTCCTTACTGTCACCTCCCACCCTAACTCACAGTGGCAAGCTCAGCTTTAACTAAGTAATAGAGAATGAAGCTGTCAACTTTTCTAGTGGCTGGCAGGAAGCAAGAAGTGGTCTAGGAATTCTTTGAAGGCTTCTAGCACAGTGGTGGGATTTGGTCTAAAGGGGGAAGGAGTATAGTTGCTAAGCCTTTGTGCATGATCTTCAGGCAGAGTAGCTAGAGAATGCTGGTAAATCCATAGGGCCTTGTTTATGCAGGGCAAAATCTGCTGTCACTAGAAGCTGAGATGGACTCAAACCATGCTATGTAGTCATTAACGTCAACAACTGGAATACCTACCATGTGCAAAGACCACAATGGGTGCTTTCTCTTCTTTTTTATATTGAGACAAATACATATAATATAAAATTTACCATTTTAAAGTGTACAGTTCATTGACATAAAGTGCATTCACAATGTTGTATAACCATCACTGCTATCTAGTTACAGAACATCTTCATGTCCCCAGATGGAAACCTTGTACCCAGTAAGCAGTCATTCACTATTTTAGGGGCAGGGACAACCACTAATCTACTTTTTCCTCTCTCTGGGCATTTCATATAAATGGAATCATATAGTAGGTGACCTTCTGTGACTGGCTTCTTTCATTTAACATGGTGTTTTCAAGGTTCTTCAACAATATAGCATATACCAGTACCTCATTCCTTTTTATGGCTGAATAATATTCCATTATATGCATATACCATGTTTTGTTTATCTGATGATAAGTTGATGGGCACTTGGAACATTTTTGTGTGGACATATGTTTTAATTCTCGTTAAACTTTTACTTAGGAGTAGTATTGTGTGTCCTATGGTAATTTTATGCTTAATTTATTGAAGAACACCGAATTGTTTTCCACAGAGGCTGCACTGTTTTACATTCCTACCTGCGGTATATTGAGGGTTCAGACTTCTCCACATTCTCACCAACACTGACTGTCTGTCTTTTGATACTAGCTATGCTGATGGGTGTGAATAATAATATCATTGTGGTTTTGATTTGCAGTTCCCTGATGGCTCTTGATCCTGAGCATCTTTTCATGCTTGATCATTTGTATATCTTCTTCAGAGAAATGCCTGTTTGAGTCCTTTGCTTATTTTCTAATTGGTTTGTCTTTTTGTTGAGCTGTAAGAGTTCTTCCTATATTCTCGATATTAGATCCTAATGAAATACACGATTTGCAAATGTTTTCTCCTGTGGATAGTCTTTTCACTCTCTTTGTGGTTTTCTTTGAAGCACAAAAGTTTTAAATTTTGATGAAGTCTAATTTATCTAATTTCTTTTTTGGGCTATATGCTTTTGGTGTCATATCTAAGAAACCATTGCCAAATCCAAGGTCATGAAGATTTACCCCCAATGTTTTCTCCTAAGAATTGTATAGTTTTAGCTCTTCTATTTAGGTCTTTGACTCATTTTGAGTTATTTTGTGTGTGTATACATGTACTATATATATGGTGTTAGATTAAAGTCAAATTTTATATATGTACTTTAATATGCATACTCTAAATGTACTATATATATGTATACACATACATGTATACATGTACATGTATATATATATTATATATATATACACATACATGTATACATGTACATGTATATATATATTATATATATATA